AATCCCTAGTGTGACTATATTTGGAGATAGGGCCTGTATGGAAGTAATTAAGGTTAAACGAGATGATTAGGTGGGGCCTTAATCTTACAGGGCCAGTGTCCTTTAAGAGACACCAGTGGGAGACCTCATTCTTTCTCTTGCTCTCTCCCTCTCTGCACACACCACACACCAGGGAAAGGCCATGTGAGGATGTAGTGAGAAGGCAGCCATCTACAAGCCTGGAAGAGACCTCCCAGCAGGAACCGACCGTGCTAGAGCCTGGTATGGGACTCCGACCTCCAGAATTGTGAGAAAATAAATGTCTGCCTCTTAAATCTCCCAGCCTGCTTAGTTATGACAGCCTGAGCAGCTACACACCATGCCTGCGGTGGAGAGGTTGGTGAATCAGACAAAGGCCTATGCCTTAAGAGCACACTGTCTACTAAGAAGGGACATCTCATGAAAATACAACGTCATAAGCGCTTCTAACTTAGCCTGGGCAATCTGAAAGGCTCCACAGAGCACACATTTGAGCGAGGTTTTCAAAGTGGCCCAACCAGGAGAAGAAACCACAATCCAGGCAGAGAGAACTCCCAGCAAGGACTGAGAGACTTTAAAAGGCAGATGTATTTGGTGAGCACTGAGAGGCTATAGGGTGTGGAGAGTATGACAGGGAATGCTGGAAGGGCACTGTTGTCTGTATCCATAGAAACACCATAGTGATAGTGCTGTGGCATTCTGAAGGCGGCCCAAGCAAAAGCTGGAGCACTCAGAAAAGATGAGGTCTGAAAGAAAGGAGAATTTGGATACGAGGGAAGAGAGGGGAAACATTCAGGTGAGGAAATACAGGAATTGAAAGAAGTTCTATTTTTTTCAGTAATTTAAGTTTTAAAATTAAAAGTTTAGTATACAGAAGAAAGTTCATAAATCAAAAAGGTATAGCTTGATGAATTATCAGAAAAGAAATATATCCACATAACCCCCTTCCAGAACAAGAAACAGAACACTGTTCTGTGTATCTGTTTGTCTTTAAATGTTGATCCATGGCATGTATTATCCGTTTGAAAATATAAACGTAACTGAGAAACAAAAACATAACGAGGCGATATATTGTCTCCTAGGCCCAGTCGAATAATGACTACCCAAAGATGTAAAATCCAAACCCCAGAAATTTGCAAATGTTACTTTATTTGGAAAAGAGATCTCTGCAGATGTGACTAAATTAAGGATTTAGAGATGAAGATAAAACAGGTGGATTATCTGAGTGGGTCCTAAAAGCCATCACAAGTGTCCTTACAAGAGAGAAAAGGGAGGCAACACAGACACACAGATGAGTGATGTGAAGACAGAGGCAGAGATGGGCATGATGAAGCCACAAGCTCAGGAATGTTGGGAAGACCACCAGACACTGGAAGAGGCGAGAAACGGACTCTCCCCTAGAGCCCAGTGGCAATTTATTTCTAGGGTTATTGGAACCCTAGGAAACTATAATAAGGGTAAAGTATAAAAAGAACACCAATTTATTATTTTATGTTTGTTTTGAATTTCTTACTAATTTGACTTCAATTTCTGTTTCAACTCTTATTTTCATTTATTTTTTTTGGCTGAATTTATTCCTGGGCCGTAAGTTTTTGTTTCTTCAGTTTCTTCTGGGATACCTCTCTCTTCTGTGCAACCTCCTCTCCTGGTTTAGGAACAATCCGCTCGTTTTCAGCAGTAAGAACCATCTCAACGCAGCAGGCAGAGCTCATGTTAAGGGTTGATCCGACTGTGAGCTCCGTAAGTCCTGTGCTGCATCTTGGGGGCTTTGTTCACCTGGATGTGCTCGATGACCAGAGGATTTAAGCCCTTAAGTTCAGCATTACTCTGCATTTTTGAGCAGGTGTGATAAAAATTCATCACTCTTTTTGGGCCATCAATCCTACGATTTGACTTAAATTTCTAAACAAGAGCCCTCTCTTTCCTGGGAAATGCAATAATTGTTTCTGATGTGGTATTATCTTGTTGTATAAGGATTCTGTGTTTGAATAAATCTGTGACAATCTGGGTTAAGTACTTTTAAATAACTTGATATCACAACTTCTCCGGTCCCTAAATACGATAATATGCCAGTGACACTCCGAGATTAGGGACACAGCACATAGCATATCCCAAAACTTACTGACCATGGAATTCTCTTACTTCAGAGCATTTCTCGGCAGTGATATTCCACCAAGTGTTTGTTGGTAAATGCTGACGTGCAGCAAAGAAAGGACAGCCTTGAGAAATTTCACTTGGCCCAGGAAGCGGCCTCCTGATGGAGCACCCGGCCCCACTGAAAGCAAGCGCCCTTCCTGTAATAACCAGAACGCCTGCATGCGCGCTCCTCGCCTCTGCACCTGGACAGGGGTGAGTCTACACGGCAGCATTTTCTCTCCAAACCCAGCTTATCTGGCTTTTGTTACAAACAACACCTTCTTTTGATGAATCATTTTCTTAAAATTTATTTTTATCAGTTAGGCCAAATAGCTTTCCCTAATTGAGAAGACTTTATCTAGTGGCTATATTAGTTTCCTGAGGCTGGTGTAACAAATTACCACAAAATAGGGGCCTTAAAACAGGAGAAATTTGTTCTTTTGCAGTTCTGGAGGCCAGAAGTCCAAACTCCAGCAGGACCATACTCCCTCTCTTCCTCGCCTCTCCCTGCATCTGGCGGCTCCAGGTGTTCCAAGGCTTGTGGCTGCGTCACTCCATTCCCTTCCTCTGTCTTCACATGGTTCGCTTTTCCTCCCGCTGATAAAGATGCCTGTCACTGCATTTAGGGCCTACCCAGAAAATCCGGAGTATCTCATCTCAAGGTCCTTAATTATATCTGCAAAGACCCTTTTTCCAAATAAGGTCACATTCACACGTTTCAGGGATTTGAGTATAGACATATCTTTTAGGGGCCACTATTCGACCTACTATAACCCTGAAAGAGATACTAGGGTCAATCTGTCACCAAAATCATCTCATGGTAAGTTAATAACAGAAGCCTAGGCCTGCAAAGTTGTAGGCCAGATCCTGGACAATAAATTCATCTAACAATACCCTTCTGCCTTAACCTCAACCATTCCATCACCTCTTTTTCAAAACATCGGCAGTCACTATTATTATTTCCATTTTACAGATACATAAACCGAGGTTCAAAAATTTTAAGTCAACCTCCAAGGTCATACAGCTAGCGAGTGACAGAACTGGAATTCAAACTCTAGTCTTTCTGATTATGAAACTATACACTCTCAGCTCTATTCTTTAAAGATCTGATTCCCAGAGCTGACTAATTACAAAAGCCAATTTTTAGTGGGTACATACGTGCCAGGCCCCATTCTAAGCACTTCAACTCTATTACTTCGATTTAATCTTCAGCAACCCCATTAGATGTGACGAGGAAACAGCTGTTCTGAGTTGCTGAGGCATTTTAGTGTGACAACCCTGCTCACACCCAGAGTCTGGACATTCAGATAAGGGCCTGAGCTTAGGATTCCCACCCAAGTTCCTGCTTTGCTTTTCCTGGGGCACCTCTGAAAATAAGCACTTGGAGTTGAGCTTACAGAGTTACAAGCCACCTTATAATCCGGTTCTCTGTGTCCTGCTTGCCCGTGACTAGGACGGGGACTGCCCTTCCCCAGTCATTATGCTCCCCTCTCCCATTTCTGGGATCTGTAAGTGAAGAATCTTGTGACTGCGCCCTCTGTCTGAGTGTACTGGAACTGCAGCTTCAATCGCAACGACCCTGGGCTTCACCTCCCCAAGTGGGAGCTCCGATGCCCATGCGGAGGGAGCTCCCTGCTGACTCCACGTGGGTGGCTTGTGCCTCCTGATTCAGCAGGTTTTGATCTGCAAATTCTTAATATGCCAGCTACACCTTCCTCCACCCAACAGAAGTCAAATATCTTGACCAAGGTCACAGTGCTGGGAAGTAAAATGAAAGCAGCCTGTCTCCAGCGTCCCACAGTAACTTCTACTCTCTTCACTGCCTACTCCAACTGTGGCCTCAACTGCTCCGAGTAGGAAGAGATCTAAATATTACATCCAATTAATGCAACCTAAGATCCTATGGCAGTCATGTCACATTTGGGCACTTGGACACTGCTGAATGGGCACCCACACCTATTCTCTTCCTGCCAAAAGGATCCACTAAAGTCACAAACCTGGAGAAAAAGTATGTGGCAAGGGCTGCAGGGAAGGGGTGGACAGGCAGAAAAAAGGCTAAGAATAAGAAAGGGCCAGACACAAAAGGAAGCAGATGAGGGATCACGGGGTAAAGTGGCTGGCAGGACAACATGGAGAAGCAAGACAGAGCCAGGTGAAGGAAGACTGCGGGCTAGTTTAGGACAATCTCATGAACACTGTGTTCCTGTCACGTTCTTTCTTACATTATGAGTCCTTAAAGGAAGACCAGTCACTGTACTCTACCACCTAGATTAGCGATCCCATACAGGAACCCTTGAAAATGGCTAATCACTTGTCGCACAAGCAACCGAGGAGAAGAGGGTCATGTTCCCACAGCTTCAGGCGTGGGCGGGGGGAGAACAAGCTGGATCTCTTCGAAGACATAGTAACTCTGCTCTTCTGTAGTTTCCATACCTTCTTCTCCAAAACTAGTAACTGTAATTACTTTAAACCTCTGTGTGCTCTGTTCACTGTTCCATCACCATCTCCCACTTCTCCATTTACACAAAATCCACTCATCCTGGGAGAGCATTTAGCTCCAAAGCTGTGAATATTTTCTTGATCACTTCTGCGTGATTTCCCCCTCCTTGGAACTTGGAACAGTATTTGCCAGTCATCACTGACACATGATGTCTCTCGATCGTTTTATTATTTAATTCCTATCAGCTAATTTTGTTCCCCACAAAGACACATTATGCTATTTTACATAATTCATAGCATCAGAACAGTTATTTTTAAACATACTATATATTATTACTGCTTTTTTAGTGACTGTAAAGCCCCCCCAAAAATAACAGCAATAACAAAAAATAAAACCAAAAAAAAAATAGCTCGAGAAAATTTAGCCATTAGCTTTAATCCTTTTGCACTGAAGCCTGAAATACGACAGTTCAAGTCAATGGATTGGAATCTCCAGGACAAATGAAGTCATGCACAGCTCAAAGTCTCTAGAGAATCCAGCCGAACCCCAGTTTAATGTTGTTTGCTATGAAGATGTGTTTAGATTGAGAAAGGTCTAGTCTAGAACCAATGAAAAGGAACAGGGAGTTCCTGACCCCTAAACAATGTTTCAAGGAGCCTACTGGAAATCTTAAGTCTCACTCATCATAAAACTGTTCCAGCTATAACATCACAGTTCTTTGCTTTTAGCTGGAATAACAAGAACTCAGTGAGATTATTTATTATAAGGAGGCAAAGACCTCTGCATGTCAGTCACATTTTTGATTAGTAAAGGGAAACTGAATTATCACTTCACAAATAAAATCTGATAATAAACAAAATCTTTCAAAACAAGAATCCTACTAGAAAAAAATAGTTAAAAACCTTTCACAGTGTTTAGGGTGGGGATAAGCTCCAAGAGACTTAAAGACAAGGGCTACTATCTTAGTAACATCAGTCCATTTACTGAGCCCTTACTGTGTGCTTCACAAAAATGTTCTCCTTTAGTGCTCACAACTCCATGAAGGCACTAGGAATTACCTTCAGCTCACAGATGAGGAAACCGAGCTCAGAGTTCAATAGCGTGTCCAAGGCCACCCACCTGGGAAGCACCATGTTCAACAACCAAAATCAGGACACTTAACTCCAAAGCGTGTTCTCAATCACCATGTTATACTATTTTATTCATCTCCCTTCACTCACTTGGTTGGCTGACCTTTGCCTTCCCAACAACTAAAGGAGGTGGACTTTCCAACTAGGTTCAAGCTCAGGCAAGAAGAATCCTGGGTGAAAAACAAGACTGTTGGTCAGTGCCTGTTGTACACCCATCATCCACCAGACTTCTGGCTCTCAGACCAGGTCTGGGGAAATGTGAACCTTTCAAGAACTCTTAAGTTCCTGTGGCACAACTATTTAAGGATTCCATGCTCTGTGGTCCGGGGATGATAACACCAAATTCTTCATTCTGCTGCCTTTAGGACTTACCTTCTCTTGACCATGGAGGTCATTTTATCAGTATTCAACACGAACCACACAAAGAACTGAAGAACAGGATGAGAAAAGCAGTGTAAGACATTCTTTTTCAGCACGACATGCTATCTGCCCACCTGTCCTAACCTTTTTTTTCTATTCTTTAGGTAAAAGATACTCTACGACAGGGCACAGATTTCGGTCAAAAAGTGACCCAAAATAAAGGAGAAAAGTGCGATTACATTTCTGGATTCAAAGAGGTCACTTCAGACACAAGAGGTGCCAATTTCTACTAGTGGGGATCTTCAGCAGTACCACTCCATGCCTGCAGCCCCACTGCTGGGCTGATGATAGAAAAAATACTTCTCATTTCAATGTCTTAACATTAGGAGCACAGTGTGGTCCTGCAGGCTTCCTGTTGTTGGATGCTTTCTAGGAAGCCCAAACAGAGAATGATTCCAGTCTCAAGTTTCTCAATCTAAAACAAAGGCCAGAACACAGCTGGAATTCAACAAATGTTATCTCGCAATTTTCCTTACTAGGGTAAACTAGGCTTAAATTATCTGAGACATGTATGACTCAACCACATATCTAAGCTGACACAACAGCGGTTCCTGTCACGGAACTCAAGCAGAAAGGAATGCAAGATTACCTCGCTATGAATTCGTTTTCAATTAGGTAAAGTAGGTAAACCGATGTGTCTGGTTATTTATGTAGTGAACAAAAAGGTGAAAATGATCTAGCCTGGCAACCATAAAAATCTGCAGAGCTTAAGCAAATTCAAAGAGATTTTTGAAAGGTAGATTTCAGAAAAAAACTGGCTAATGGTTTTGGAAGACTGTTTCAGAAAATGAGGGACAAAGAGCCTCAGTCAATGGAAGTAGCCAAATTCAGTGGAGGTAGAGGTTGCAAGCAAACTGCCTCCATTCTGAGTTACAGCTTGTTTAAAGCTGTCATTTTAGTAAGAACTGAAATCCACCATGTAACGGGCAAGTCAGCTAAAGTGCTACTATGCTATTATATGCATAAATCTTTTTTATTTGCATTAGAAAGACATCAATTGCCTCATACTACAATATGTAATTAAGAAGTCAATGTACTATTTCACTTAGCTTTACAAGATAAATATTGTATTACTGCAAAAATAAAGGCTGTGATTTTAACTAGCCATATTTCAATGCTGACTATAAGAAAGTCTACCACTATTTAAGCTGCTTTTTATGCTAAGGACCTAGATATTACACAGAAAGATGACTAGTAATTATACTTTCACATTAAAAACAAAAACTACCATTCAATTTCTAAGGCACCAGAAAATTTGTAATGAATGAACCAAACTTGAAGATTCACAAACTACTAGTCAGAAGGGAACTCAGCAACGTCTGGGATAATGTTTCTTTCAATGAAGAAAAAGGAGGGTTCATTCATTTGGTAACTAGGTGAGTGCGTATTATGTGCTAAGGATGGTTAGGCAAGAGGTTAAGGCTGGGGGTTGAGGGAGAACAAGGAGAAATGTGGCTAGAAAGGTTTAAGTGTAAGGATTTAGAATAGTCACTGTGATGTATGGGAAAGCTGACCTGGGGCAGCTGTTAGAGATGAGACAAGGGGCCATTTGTAGCTGGGTTCCAAACATCTTGGGAGTTACCAACAGGAGGCATTCAATGATTGTTCCTTCAACATGTAAAAGGGGACACTGGGCTGGAAGTGAGACCTGGGCTCTGCCAGAGCTCTGTCACTAACCAGTCGTATGGCTTTGCCAAGTCATGTACCATCCTGAAAGTTCTGCATTATAAGCTCTCTTTTTGTTGATAAAAATGAAAATTCCTAAGAGTATGCCTCGAAAGATCTTTGTGATACACCGTTAGTCAACATTCTCTATTTATACATAAAGTTCACATTATTCCATCCAATTTACAAGGATGGTATGAAAGATACACAATACAGTTCCCTGGCTGGGTATTTCTTTTCACATACATCCTGAGAAAAACAACAAACACCTGGCAACATCTGTTGTGAATTTCTTATCCTAGGGGAAGTAAACATATTGGCAAGGAATAGGAGCCATCTTTTTTTTAAGCATTTGTAACGTGTAATCTAGTTATCTAGACAAGCAGTCTTTAATACATGAATCCATAGATATGCTTTTGGGGGGGGTTCAAAAACACCCTGAAATTACATGCAAACTGATTTTCTACCTGAATGTATGTAAACTTTCTTCACATTTTCAATATCCATAAAACCTCTCCCTGCCAAAAAAAAAAAAAAAAAAAGTTAAGAACTGTGGGGCCAACTGCTGTTCTTTAAAGTCCTGGGCTCTCAGACATCTTCAAAAGATAAAATAGTCTCTTCTGGGTGTGTTCATCTTAACAGACTAATAGCCCTTGATAATGCCTAATTTCACAGTCGCTCAGGCTGGCTTCAGCCTACCTCAAACCCCAGTCCTTGGCGGACCCTGAACTATCTGCCTCACCTACAACCAGTCAGAGGCTTGTGCACAAGTCGATCAGGCACCTTGCCACCCTCCCAGGGTGAACCCAGAGGGCTCACAAAGGCACCTGTCAGTGTGGCCCACTGTTGTCTATGGCACCATACCCTAATAAACTCCTTTTCCATTTTCATTCTTTCTTTGGTGAATTCTTTTACCACCCTTGACACTGGCCCGCCTCCTCCCTCTGTCCCAAGAACCGCTGCTCTAAGAATGTTTCTTTTCTGAAGCAACTTTCCTAATCAGTATTAACTAATTAGTAATAATGGGTCTAATTCCCAGCGTCCTATTAACCGCTGGGCAAGGAGGTAAAACTGAACTGCTCTGTACAGTTTAACGTGTCACCGCACTGCTTGAAATACCACACCGTGGTCTCTGGAATGCTATCCTGCAGTACTCAGGTAAGAGCACAAGGACACAAAGCCTGACACTGGACACGCTAGTCCCACGGTTTAAAAACGAGTTTGCAGACTTCATCGTCGCTGGTCCCTACAGGTGTGCAATTTGGGGCAGGTTACTTCGCCTCTAGGGCGCCCACCGCGGGGAACAAATACAAGCCGGCCGTGGCCTGGCGGACGGGTGCGATTTCCTCATCCACGACCGAGGCGTCGTCCCGGCCGGCTCCCAATCCCAGGCCTTCCGGGCCCTCCGCAGCGCGGACGTCGCGGGCCCTCGGGCAGGGCCCCCTGAGGGAGCGCTCGCGGACGGAGGACTGCGCCGAGCTCCCGACGTGGCGCCGCCCGCTTTCACTCACATCTCCCGGAGTCACGGCCTGACTCTCCTCAGCCCTCCAGCACCCTACACGGAACACCACGAATCGCGGCCACGCTCACTGACCGGCCCCGCGCTCTCTCCCAGCCGCCTAACATATCGAGGCTGCGCCCACTTACAGCGGCGACCCGCACACGAAGGCCTCCAACGCTTACGGCGGCCGACACGTGACCAACGCGCGCAAACTCCGGCCGCAGACGCCGGCTTCCCTTAGTGGCCGGCAAGCGGGGTGCGCGCATGCTCACGCGCATGCGTGAGACGGAAGCGCTCCTCCGGCGACAGTTTCAAAGCCGCTGGGCGCATGCGCCGCGTGACGCCGGCTGTCGGCTGTAGGAGGTGCTGTAAACCGAGGCTCCGGCGCGCTTGCGTAGTAGCAGGACGCGGGCGTTTCTTTCCTTTTTTTTCGAATTGGTTTTGAGGGGTAGATTCGAGTTACAAAATGGCGGCCTGGGGCGTGTTGGGTGCTGTTCTCCCAGCGGTCTCCGGCTGAGCGGACGGCTCTCCCTTCCGTAACCGAACACAAAGCGACGAGCCCCCCCCGAGGGACATGGTGTTTGAGGCTCAGGGCTTGCTGACCACCACAACCTTTGAGGTTCTCAGCGCACCGGAAGCGACCGGGCGCCGCTTCAGACCCGAGCGCCACTGCGCACCCCGACTTCGCCGCGCCCTCAACCCAGCGAGGGCCGCCGCGGCCGCCCGGGAGGTAAGAGGCGGGCGGGGGCCGAGCGCGGAAGCCGGGCTGCGGGGCCCGGGGCTGGGGCGGAGGAAGCCGGGCTCGGGGTGCGGGGCCCGGGCCTGGAAGGGAGGAGCCAGGGTGCGGGGCCCCGGCTGCTGTGGGGGCGCTGAGGGGAGCCGGGGAGGGTACGGCGGGGTGTCAGCGGAGACGCAATCGGGGGTGTTTGTGAAGCCGGGCTCCGGGCCGACCTGTCGGGGCTGCGGTGTCCAGCTTGGGTAAGGCTCGCCCGGGCGCGGGGCCCCTGCGGCCTCGGGAGAGGCCGGAGGCCGGAGCGAGCAGGGGCCGTCCTGGCGTGGCCTTCTCGGTTCATTTCCTAGCGGTTCCTCTCGGTACTCGTCTCTCTCTTCTCGCTCCCTCCTATGCCTCCTTGGTCTGGCTTCACTTTCTGACTGCACTCGCTGGCTGTTGATCACCCCTTTACCCGTATTCGATTGAGAAGCAGTTTTGAGATTTCGTTTTCCCCTAGCGTTTCAGTCTCTGGGGTCCGCACCCGCGTTCCCCTTTTCCTCCGGGCATCACGCCGTCAAGTATGGTCAAATCCGTTTTCGTCTTAGGGTTAACTGATGTGGAGTGAAGTTCAGCCCCAAGGGTGGGGCAGCACCAGGTGGCAGAGACTGTATAACTATACACCTGGCACAAATAAAGTTTTTTCCAATTACCAAAAGTTTCAATTTCCTATCAAAGTATGCTTCATACCTAGTAACCATTTCATAACTTGGTGCCTTTTAAACCACAAGCCCAAATGTTAAAAACCCAAATGTTAATAATAATAGTAGTACATAGGAGTCAGGCCTTGTTAAAGTACATTACAGGGATTTTTTCCCCCTTTTTCTGGCATAAAAAGAAAATTTATTATCTGAGGTATCATGCATTGAAATAAAATATGGATTCGGTAAAGTATTTTTTTAAAACCTGACTCATAATTAAAGTTAATTCTCTTCTTCCACACTGCAACTTTTAAGTTTGGGAGGAAAAGTGGTACTTTATAAAGGCTTTGCTTCTAACAAAACGTATCTTTAATAGTTGCTGAGCCCTTCCTCTGTTCCAGACACTGTTGTAAACCAAGTTTTTTGTGTATCATTTAATTTTCACATCTCCTCCCTGTTATACAGATGAAGAAACTGAGGTACAAAAATTAAATAATTTGCCCAAGGTCTCCAGCAACAAAATGGCAAAACTGAATGCTAGATTGTGTTGTATTTTCTCAAATATGTATTGCCCTACATCACTGATTCTCCAACAGCTAGAACATCTACTGTGCAGTTGAGAGGTTTGGGGCATTTGGGGTACGTCAGTGAGTAAAACCAAGATAACCTGCTCTCTGGTTGGGTCATTGATAGGGTAAATGATAGACCGTGGAAGCCGCTACGTTAATTTAGGTTGTTTATGCCAGTTATCTCTTCAGTTGGGGGTATGAGTGAGATGTTAAAATTTCACTTATCGTTTTTGTAACTTTTAGCTCCACTCCTTTTTGCCAGTTAATCTTAATAACATTAATAGCAAAAAATGACTGGTTTCGACTTCTGCCCTCTGGTGGAGATGTTAGTTAATGAATAGGAAAATGGCCAAAAAGAATCCACGGAGAGCTGGCTTTTGAACAGTTCAAGTTTAGGAAGGATTTATGTGTAAGAGTACCTTGTGTTTTGGGTAACAAAGATTAATAGCAAAACTTGACCAAGTGTTATTATTGGGAGATTATTAAAAGCTGAGAAGCTTCTATATAATTACCCTACAGGGAGTCAGATTTTGGAGGACTTTGGAATGCCAGCATTTGAATTTTATTTTGTAGTTACTAAAGTGCAGTAAGTATTAAGTTGTATCTTAATGACCATGAGGTTCTAGAAACTTACTCTGGTGAGTTGTGGAGTTAAGGGCAAGTGAGAGTGGGGAAAGGTTATAGTAAGGAATTTAGGCTGTTTTTCAGGAGGCCTTGGTAGTGTCCCAAACTAATCAGTGGGTTCCTGGGCAAGGTAAGTAGCAGAAGAAATGGAGTTTTTTGGTCCATCTAGCTGGTGAGTTAGGGAAGAATCCAGCACAGCACTCAAAATAGAGTTCTCTATTGATTGTTTTTGTTTTTAATAGCAAATGGTATGATCTTAGGATCAGAAAGTAAATAACAGATTTCAAGGAATGGATACAAGCAGCCACTTAGAATAGGTGTGTGTATCCATTGCGGAGATAATACCATCAGTCCCCTCCCCAAAGCACCATGGTTTTTGAGGAGTTAAGCTGATGGCTTACTTTTGAAGAGTTTAAATTCTAGGATTGTTAACACATCCATATTAATCATATTTTGAACTTACAAATGATGTCCCAGTTTAGCAGTATGCAATTTGGGTAATTAAATATTCCGTCTTGGGAAATGTATTTCTATTAACTGTCTGTAGTCTAAAGAAGAATACATGTATCTTCCTCAATTTATGTGGGATTACGTCACAATAAACCCACAATAAGTGGAAAATATTGTAAGTCAAAAATGCATTTAATACACCTAACCTACCGAACATCATAGATCAGCCTACCTTAAATATGTCCAGGACACTTACATTAGCCTGTAGTTGGGCAGAATCATCTGACACAAAGCCTGTTTTAAGTAGTGTGGAGTATGTCGTGTAATTTATTGAATACTGTACTGAAGGTGAAAAACAGAGTGGTTACATGGGCGGTTGTAAGTGTATCGATCGTGATGGCCTGGCTGCTGACTGGGAGCTGCGGCTTCCTGCTGCTGCCCAGCATCACAAGAGAATGGCTTACCGCGTATCACTAGCCTGAGAAAGGATCAAAATCTGAAGTCAGGTTTCTACTTAAATGTGTATCATTTACATCATCGGAAAATTGAAAACTTTGAAGGCAAATCATCTCAAGTCAGGGACCACCTGAACTCATATTGGAGGTATTTCCAGTGCCTTATTCAAATTCTTGACTAAGGTTGACTTTACTGGATCATTCTTCAGGGAATTTTAAATATTAAAAATGTCTTGCCTGTAGCAGGACTATGTAAGTATCATTTGCATAGAATAAGTTAAGTATTTGTTGATTTAAAAAAATTTTTTTTAATTGCAGAATAGTCAATTTACAATGTTGTGTCAATTTCTGGTGTACAGCATAGTAGTTCAGTAGTACATGTATTCGTTTTCATATTTTTTTCCATTATAGGTTACTACAAGATATTGAATATAGTTCCCTGTACAATACAGTATAAACTTGTTTGTCTATTTTATATATAGTAGTTAGTACCTGCAAATCTTGAACTCCCAATTTAGCCCTTCCTACCCCCTTCCCCCTCTGGTAACCATGTTTGTTTTCTATGTGAGTCTGTTTTCTGTTTTGTAAATAAGTTCATTTGTCTTGCATTTGTTTATTATTATACAGTACTTTAGATTTCTGATTTTTAAAAATCAGGTTTTTTTTTCCAAATGGCATTGGCTTAGTGTTGTTCAGAAAAGGTGCCAGTGTTCCTCAGGAAACCTCCCTCCCTCCTCATGTAATCCTTTATTGGATTTGTGACACTGGGAACCTGCAAAATTCTAATTAACACAGTGCTCACTGGTGTCAGGAATGTGTTTATCTCGTTTTGCGCTAAAATAAATTTTAAAAATTCTTCGTAAGAGTTATATCTTGGTCTAGGAAAGTAAACTTATTACTTCTTACGTTTTTACTTTTAGGTTTGGGAAAATGGCCAAAAGAATTGCCGAGAAGGAATTGACAGATAGGAATTGGGATCAAGAAGATGAAGCAGAAGAGGTAAAAAATAATTTCCTTAAGACTGATTTGCTGCTGCTTCCAAATTTAAGTTCATTTTGAAATTCCTTATGCAGACTGGTAAAATTAAGTCCTTTTAAAGAACATTCTGATCTGAAAATAGTATGTTTTCTTATGGTCTGTACTTGGTGTTGAAATTCATTACATTTGGGTGTGCTTTTTCACTGGTGCCTATTCCCTAAATATTTTGCTCCTTGGTAGAAGCACCTTCCTTTTGAATTTCATGCATTTATAGCATTCTAAGCCCATGGTTCTAGTCCAGACTGAAGGATGACTAAATGATCTAGTTGTAAACTTAGCACAGTGCCAGTGCTCAGACTTGGAGAGGGGTACAGCACCACCCTCTCGGTTTGCCACACTCAAAAAGAGTTTTAGATTTTAGAACAGAGAGGTTGTCTCCTTTAATACTTCTTGAGGTTCTGTTTTATTTCATATTCTTACAGATCTGAAACAACACACACACACACTCTCTCTCTCTCTCTCTCTCTCTCTCTCTCTGTCTCGTACGTACGTACTCGTCCGTCGTCGTACGTACGACGACGACGTATACTCTTACCTAACTAACGACTACGTAACTTA